GAAATGATCATCTACAGAGAAAATACTAAGAAATCTCTAGGAGCCCCTAGAACTTGTATTTGAATTTAGCAGAATTAGAAACCATAAGGTATATATAAAAATTCAGGTCTATGTATACTTGCTATAAATGAAGAATTGGATATTGAAATTTAAAAGTTATGTAGGAGTGAGATCGGCTTCCGTGATCTACAATGGATCTGCCGATAATTCTCAATCTCAATAACGAGATTGTGAAGATGAGAAAAGAAGTGAAGAGAATACGAGTTTTGGTCATCAGAAAACTTGTCAGGAGTGTTGGCAGGCTGAAGTCAAAAAAAGGTACTGAAGGTGCACTGTTAAAAAATCAAAGACAGACGCAGTGATTGCTTGAAGAAATCCATGCCATGAAGGAATTGAAACCTGATATAGTAACTAAATCTGCTCTTGGTGATGATATCAACTTTGAAAAGATCTGCAAAAAGCCAGATTCTTCTGCAACTGAAAGGGCAATTGCCAGACTAGCCGAACATCCTCTTCTAAAGAAAAAAATAGGTATACTAAAAGCTGCTGTCCAAGCCTTTAAAGATGCAAGACAAAATACTACTGAAGTTAAGAATACTACAGAAGGAAATCATTCTAAGGACACTTTATATTCAGATGATGAAGAAAGTAAGTCACAGCATGAAAGAACTAAGACCATTGAGCAGAAATTGAAAGAAGCCAAAACACAGGCAAAGAAACCAATAAATAATTCAAAAAAAAATGGCCACAATGGAACATGGACCGAAAGCAGTGAACATTCCAAATTCTCTCTCAAAGCTTTTAGAAAAGGATTCTGTAGTTACCCCTCTCAGTTCCAGAAGACACCTCCTAACCCACACATGAAAACATTAAATAAAAAGAAAGGGTCTGATAACTTGCTTGGTGATGACAGTGATAGCGAGGAAGAATTATTTGGAGAAGAATAGGAATATTTTGATGACAGCACAGAAGAAAGGTTCTACCAACAGTCTTCCATGTCTGAAGACAGTGATAGTGGTGATGACTTCTTCATTGGAAAAACCAGACGGACACGAAAAAAGGAAAGTGGTTGCCGTACTTCAGCTAAGGAACAAAAACCTCTCCACCAAGTGTTGGCCAAAGAAGATATCCGTGAAACTAACTGGGATTGTGATGTAAAAAATAGAAATGACAAAAACAAGCCAAGTACAGAAGCCAGGAAGTTAGAATCAGTATTTTTTCACTCTTTATCTGGATCTAAAAGTTCTAGAAGGGAGCATAGAGAACAAGCTCCAAAAAGCAAAATCTCAGATTTTCCAGAA